GCCGCACCACGTGGGTCACCTCCCTGGCTAGGGATTGAACTTGTGTTGAGGCGGATATGACCAGATTTGTAGTTCTGTGCTTTAACCCGGTGCACCACCAGGGAGGGCCCAATAAATTAAATTTTAACTGACTTCATTTTGTTGCTCTTTGAACAAAATGAGCTAATGTAATAATACATGGGAACTTTGATTCCAGGTAGACAAATATATGTATATATATTTTGCAAATGAACAAAAAGGAATATTTAAGTATCCAATCATTTTTTAAGACCCATTTAAGGAAAAAAAAAAGCTCTTTTCCAAACCTTATTTTAAGTGATTTTATAAAGAAAAAGACTAGCTCTATACTATAATTATTTTATTATACAGTATTTTTTCTTATAGTCTACTTTTCTATCCACATGCTAAATGAAGCAGGAAAGAAATTCATCTGATTCCTTAGATTTGAGTTCCTTGGGCAGAAATTGTTTCTCTTACTGTTGTATCCCTACCTACCTGACACATAAGTGCTCTCTTAAATGAGTTTTTTATTCAACCAGGTCTAAATACTCTCATATATATACAAATAAGGAAATTCTGCAGACAGATATCTACTTTCCGTTAATCCTTACCTAACTATAAAATACTCATTTAGGCAGTTTTAAAATTAAATAAAGTCGTATTAATAATTTAGGATTTACACCACCTATCTATTGGCTATTAAGTGACAGAATTTGAGCAAAGAGGAAGGATGAGCTCAATAAAGACAAGAAACAAAACTTAAACAGTAAAAACTAAAGCCACAAATCCCGAAGACAACCAATCAAATCTGAATCTACTGGTTGTTTTATAGTATTTTTAAATCATATTTACTAGCATTTTAAATCATATTTACTACTAATAAGTGAGGAAGACTTATAGTATGTACAACATACATTTCCTGTTTTAGCAGTTTAGGAATATGAGAGAATAAAATAAGCAAGATACATTTTAGTTTCATCCTGCTCCTGGCTTTACCACAGGACCTGTAGGCTGAGTGTGAAAACTGACTTAACATCAATCTCACTTCTGCTGAGAAGCTACCCACACAGAAGCAGAAAACACTATTTCCCTTAAGTTCAATGTGAATCCTAAAAAGAATAAGAGAAATAGGTACAATTAAAAATAAAGCTTAAAAGAGTGCCCCCCTCCCCCATGGCGCAGCAGGTTACATGCAGTACTGCAAGCCAGCCACAGCCACTTCAGTGAGGCAGCCTCCTCAGTGAGGGTTCAGCCCCTGGCCTGCAGGTAACCCACATGGCACAACAGACCTCTCCTGTCTCGCCTGCTGCGCCCCTCAGCAGTATATTTCAGTCAATCTGCCTGTTCTGCTCCCCACTCTATCTCTGGTGATTCTTCTCACCACCCCTATACCTCTGGCGTGTACCCCAGTTCTGTATGCATAAATAAATCTTTAAAAATAAATAAAGCTTAAAGAATTTGGAAAAATTTCATAGCAGTCAAATTTAAATTTGAATTAAACAACTAAAGAAAAACAAATATCGAATTACTTTAATCTGATGATCAAGAATCAACCTGAAGAAATAAAACCAATAGAATTTCACACATTATGGATTAAAAAATTTTTTTCCAAAAGGAATGTCTATCTTTACTTCATATTGCAACGGCAGTTTTTAAATATGTAAGAATAAAATTAATGACTCATTTGCAGACTAACATACCTTTTACAACATGGCCTTTCCTTCATCTACCCTACCCACCTCACTGTCAACTCAAGACAATGGCCACCCTTAACCACTCAAGATCACTACGACTCATCACTCATTCTACTTAGACTGTTCCCTGCCCTGGAATGGCCCCTGTTCATTCACCTTAGATCTCAGGCTTAAATATACAAATTCCTTAAGCATCAGGACCTTGTTGGTCTTACTCACTATTATTTCTCTAGCAACTAGAGTAGTACTTGCACACAATAAGCAATCAATAAATTAGTGTTGTAAGAAGAAAGATGTTCTACCTACATACTGTATCCTTTGGTCTTTTTTAATTTTCTTAATGGTTTTTACCCTTTCTATGTATCACAGTACTTCATTTAGTTATGAATGACTATTTCATTTTTACTACGTAGTTATAGCTACCCATAAAGAGCTGGTCCCAACTCTTTCCAAAATTTACATGTAATACTGAAATTACTGTGGTTTAAAAGAAAACACATTAATGGTACATTTTTTAACATTTACAGACTTTCTTAACTATTGTCAATTCAGTAAACATGAATATAAAAGTTATCTGTCCCACCTGTTGCTCCCCTCAGCAATGTATTTCAGTCAATCCACCTATTCAGTTCCTCACTGTCTCTGGTGAATCTTCCAAACCATTCCCCCCTTCTTCTGTACCCCAGTTCTTGTATGACTGACTGAATGAATGAATAAATCTTTTTTAAAAAAAGGTTGCCTGCTAGAAAATGATGGTCTGCCATGATTTACCAGTTATAAAAAATAGGGTTTTGGTCTCTATTACTTACCATTCCAACCTTTAAGTAGGAAAAAAACCACAAATATTGTAATTGCCCGTATATCAAGTCTATTCCTATACATCAAAACAAAATCATGAAACTGGAGAGCTCAACAAAACAATCCCTTGAACAGAGAATGACACCAAGTTCATAGAAGTTACTAGTTTTATATTAAGGAAATTTCCCATACCAACATCACTTAGGAAATGGAAAACTTTGAAAGATATTAAAGCATGTTCTAACAGAAACTTACTAAATTATATTCTATAGCAGAATTTATCTAATATTTAAGCCTTTGACTAATCATGAAGACTATAAAACAAAGAGTTACAGCACTCTTAAATGTACTTAAGAGTGCTAGAAACTGATTCAATGAGTAGTGTAATATGTAACTAAAAATGGGGGAGGTTTCCTGCTCCAAAATCTAATCCATTCCATCTTTCACGGGTGAAAATTTTTTTTTCCTATTAAGGAATTACTGAGCTGATACTTGAGGTATAATTACCTTGAAGTTTCTCCTTGTCTTTCATATTGTATACACCATTTTGAAGTTTTTACCTATATAATGTTAACTTTATGAAAAGTCGTTTTGAAGTTTTAATGTTACAGTGGTGCTGAAAAGCACTTCACAGAAATGCCTAAAAGCATTTTTATACATAATTTAGAAATGTCAATATATTTTTATTTCCCACTTAATGAATGGTGTGAAATTTCACTTTCTTTATAAAGTAGCATACAGGGGCCCTCTCTGGTGGCACAAAGGGTTAAAGCACAGCACTGTGAATCTCCGCAGCCACTGCAGCAGGAGCTCAATCCTAAACCAGGGAAGTGACCCACCTGGCATGGCAGACCACTCCTGACCTGCCCGCTGCCCCCCTCTCGGCAGTGTACTTCACTTGATCTGCCTGTTCTGCTCCCCACTGTGTCTCTCTGGTGAATCCTCTCACTCCCACACCTCTGGCTTGTACCCCAGTTCTTGTATGCATAAAGAAATATTTTTTAAAAAATAAAGTACATACAGGTCATCGTGGTAAACTCCACCTTGGTTTCATAGTTTTCTATTTACAGAGCACCTGCTGTGCATAAACTCAATTAGGCATTATATTGGGTAGATTGTTCGACCAATATTATACTTCCTACTAAAAAAGTTAACGCTGTGACTCTTCAGTATACCAGGTAGTAACTATCAATTGCATGTCAAAGGCTCGTTAAACCAAAAAACAATGATCTTACTGGAGGAATCCAGACTGCCAGGATCAGCAACACTACATTAGAACGTAAATAGACTCCATCCTTAAAATACCCCAGGAGAAGAAAGGGAGTGATTCAAACTATTAACATGTGCCCAACGATACTACACAACAAAAGCCTAAACGGAACTGACTGATGTATTTGTAATTAAGAGGTTCGGCCACAACAAAACATCAACAGCGGGATTTTTATCCCACTGGGTGGAAAGATTCAGAAAGCAAAGGCAAGAAACGACAAACACACACAAGCATCAACTGCCCAAGCGACACAGTGTGGGAGAACAAGTGCGGACTTTTCGTTCCTTCAACCTGTGAGAGTGTTTTGAGACCTCGGAGAGGGCGATTTAAAAGAAGAATGAATGAGTGCGGTTCGGTTAAGGGGTGCTGCCCCTACAATACACTGAAGTCTGTGCCACAGGGCTACAGGGGAAAACAGAACTCCCTCTGACGATGATCTTCAACTTGGGGTTAGTCAGCTGACATCCTAGTCGGTTTTTCAAATAAAGTTGACAAACTCGCCAGAAGAAATCCATTTTGGACACTTGGCATACCCCTCCCACTGACTGAGGCATCCGAGAACCGAAGGTTATGGAAGCGACGAGAGAGAAGCGGCGCCAAGCCCAAGAAATCAGCCTAGGTTTCTCCCTTCTCCAAGGCCACGGTAGCCGCGGCGTTGGGGTGGTCGTGTGGGCTCCGGATCGGGGTGATAAAGGCAAGGAACGACCACAGTCCCCGGCTCCCCGATCTGGCAGCGTAGGCAGAGCTGCTGCGGCCGCCGCCGCCGCTTCCCAGTGCGGGAAAGTTGCGCGAAGGCAACTCCAAGACAGCCACGACGCTCCCAGGTAAGGCCCACCGGCTGCAGCACCTCCAGCCTCCCGTCCATCCCCGGGGAGAAGAGAGGCGCCTCGCCGGAGCCCCAGCGACCCCGGGAAATGAGGGCTTCGGGAGAGTGTTTGCTCGGCCCGCCAACTCGGCAGCAGGAGGACGCGAGGGTCACCACTACGCGGGCGAGCAAGGGGTCGGAGCTGTTCCAGTCCCTCTTTTTTGGCCAAATGCGGGCGCTAACACCCGGCGCCCACCAGCCCGGTCCGTCACCCACCAGCCGGGTCCGTCACGACTCCGACGCCAGAACGCCGCAGAGCCCTCAGCAGCGGCCCGCAACCCTCCGGCTCAAGCCGACCTTCCCTGGGACGCACCCCGGGTCCCGCGGCTCGACCGGTAGCCCGGTCGCGGCCCTGCGCCCCTTCCCGCCTCACCTGCGCTCCTTGCCCGCTCCGCGCGCCCCGTCGGGGCACACACCGACCCCCCGGCCGGGACTCTCCCGGCCGCGGTGACTCGGGACGCGACGGCCTCCGCCGCCGTCTCCTCCTCAGAACAAGCCCCGGCGGCGAGCAGAGGGTCCTAGTCAGAGCCGGGCCAGACCCAAAGCGATTCTCGCCGCCTCCGCAGCCTGCACCACCAAGTCCCTTCACTCGTCCGCGCCGCCCGGAGAAAATGTCACCAGAGGCCGTTCCGCTCGGCTCCTCACTTCCGCCCGGAACCACAGAGTCCGCGCCGGTCGGCTAGAGCAGCCGCTGCGGCGGGGGCCCCTCGAGACTGGGGCGGGAGACGCGGGAAAAGCCAGACAGCGCCATCTGGCGGGAAGGAACCCTCGCTCCTCCCGCTGCAGAGCGCCGAGAGCGCGGACACCAGCTTTGTAAGCTTCTTTCCCGCGCTCTCTTCATCTGGTGGGCAGCGAAGGTTCAGATTTGTCTTTTCAGGAGGGTCAGAAAGCCAATCAACGCAAGTCGAGGACAAAGTTCTAAGAAAGGGGCGCGCTTTTTTTTCCGTGCGCTGCTCAATACTCACCCTTCTTGAAGCCTTTCCAAATGAAGCTCATGGTATCTGAAGTCTTGAGTCACTCCAGCAGGGCGTCCGCTCTCCTGTCTCCCCACTTTTTCGCAGACAGAGGTAGCTCGGCTGCGGGAAATTCAGCTGCGCTCTTCCCTTGAATGGCATCAACATCCCGTTCAAGTTTTTGGACCCGAACCTTGCAGGCCTCTCAAATGCACTGCCACCTGCTGCTGGATCGGGTCCGCCATGGAGCCCCGTTCCGCCCTACATCCCAAATTCCACCTCTGCTGTCACGATCCGACTTGCTGTACCTGGGAAAAGGAGACGCACACGCACTTTCCGAAATTTCGAGGTTCTTCTTTAAGGCTGGAATCGAGTGAAACGTGTTGGACGAGGAACCCGAAAGAAAGGTGAGGTTTGCCCAGGCCCCAGTAAGAAAGAGGGACATGCGGAGAACAAACCTCAGTACTCCAGATCTGGCCTCGGGCCCACGCTCCCTAGACGAAAGGGAAGAAGATGAGAGGCTTTAGGAGAAAAATGGAAGCGGTTTGAACCTTTTCAGGATTCACCCTGGTACTTGGGGTGAGACTCCTCACGAGGATGTTCTGAAAATCTGGCCCCATTCTCACCTTAAACCAATTTCCCCTTTAGGTTAAGCCTTTCAGCTCCCCCAGTTTACTGATTTATTCTATCTGCCCACAAGGATGGAACTTTTTTCATCCCTAACTAAATGAATAAATACCAAAATAATTTTATAATAACTAACTTTTATGGAATGCCAATTAAGTGCCCCATGCTCTAGTATACATCTAACTAGGTTCACTTATTTCACCTTCACAAAATCTCACGATTTTTGGTGGTATTACTAATACCAGGTGGAAACTGAAACAAAGAGTGGTAAAGTGACCCACCCAAGGTCACACACCAGTAAGTGGCAGGACTGGTCTGACACAAACAACTCCAAAACCTGCTTTCTCAAATGCCTCCTGCAGAATCAAGAACATACTGTGTGCCAGATAAACATGATGTCTGTGTATGTTATTTCACTCGTTTGTTCATTACTTATTCATTTATTTTCTTGCTACTTTAGTCCTCAAGGAATTGGAGAGGTTGGGGGCTGGTAATAAGAACCCAGATTCTTGCAGGAGAGGAAAAGAACAGATAAGATCACAACTGTCAGTCTTGATATAAATGAATGAATAGGGACTGATGCACTCCATTTTAAACAGCTTCTTGACAATAACATGACTTCTTGCCAATGCTGAAGACGCTGAAGCAGGACCCTGACTATTAAGGGGTCATTTGGTTCCTCCTTGATATCACCAAGTCAATTCCCAATGAATGAAGTGTGTGTGTTTTTGAAGACTAGGCATTTGATATCATAAGAACTAGAATCCTACCTACTGCTATGTTTATCTTTGTTCTTAGTACTGTTAAGTTTATCTTGTAGGGCAGTTGCTTTCTTCTGTAAGAGCAGGAAGGAGAGGGCAGTTGATCCTACTTCTGCTTTGGAGTTACCTCCTAGAAATCTCCTCTGCCTTAAATGCTCAGCTCTCCAAACTTGCGAAAACCTCCCTCATTGATAAAACCAGGCCAGACTAAATACAGCACCCATCACCAACCTCTCTACTCCATTGCCTCTGCAGAACTTTCTGCAAAATTTCTCTGCTCACAGATACGTTTACACACTTGCCTCACCCCCTAACCTACCAGTGGTGTTACTACTGTATCTCAGCAGTGGTTCTCCTCTCAACATCCGTCATAAGCCCTAAGTCCAAGCCTGTCTGAATCTCGCTTCACCACCATTTCTTGAGCTTGCTGAATCACCTCAAATGGGACTAGGCCTGCAGCAGGCACCTGTTAAAAAACAGTGACCTGGGCCCTCCCTGGTGGCACAGCAGGTTAAAGCACAGCGCTGAAAGGCTAGAGCCACTGCAGCATGAGTTCGATCCCCTCCCCAGAGGTGACCCACATGGTATGGCTGACCTTTCCTGACTGGCCCGCTGCTCCCCTCAGCGGTGTCGACCTGAGCAGAAACATTAGAGTAACTGCCCTGGTCTTGACTGAGTCTGTGCCTTCTTTGCAAGCAGGTCACTTCCTACTATCTGCCCCTAAACAGTGAATGCTATTATTAGAACTACTCTTTGGATGTGTGAAATGAGGGGCCTGAGAGGCAGGACCTTTGTTTCTAGGACTTGGCTGACCGATCTCGTCCTACTCAGATTGTTACAGGACAGGGAGGGGGCACCACTGAACCCCCAAACCTGCCTGCTCCATATCAGTTCTGCCCTCCACCACATCAAGACAAAACATATAAAACTTTAATGAAAAGGGACTTTAATACAGTGAATATACAATACAGAACACAAAGAATATAATGTCTAAATCAATCACCTGAAGTTACCCATCCCCTCATGGGCAAAAGTCCACCCAAAAGGGATTGGCCCAAAGCAAGGCCTGAAAGCTGCCACAGGCCTAAAGCACCTTCTGGCCGGGACCCACAGAAAAGAGTCAGAAATGGCCAGACAAGTCTGGGAGGAAAAGAGCAACATCAAAATCAATATAAACACTGCCAGAGTCACCTCCCCATGGGTCTCTCACCCACATCTGCCTTAACCAGTCCAGGGCCAGGAAACAAGCACGGTTTCTTCATCACATGCTTGTTGCTCCGTGGCTTCCTCAGATCTCCTGGCTCTCCATCCTGCTTCCTTCTTCCTCTCTCCTTTTTTCTCTGCTCAACTCCACCCTCCTTCTGGGTGGGGCAGGGAACCTGGAACTTCCCCTTTTCCTAGGGACCCCCCTGTTACAAGATTGCTAAGGACTGAGCTGAGCTGTCCCTCTCTCATCATAACTGCCCACTCCCAGTATGACCAGCATCCATGACCATCCCCCAGCACCTGTTTTAAGGCAGTAGAATCAGAGAAATGCTGTCCCTCTGCACCATGGTAGCCACATAACCTCGGACAGGTCACCACACCCAGTTTACCTTGCCTCTCAGCGTCATTCTATAGAACCAAATTGTATCCTCCATACTAAGATCACAGCCGTCAGTATTAATATGAATAAATATGAACAAATACATTCTGGTTTAGAACAACTTCTTGACAATAACATTGACTTCTGATCTCCTGCTGATTCTGGAGATACTGGCCTCTGGGGCAAACTTCCAGAGGCCATTTTGGGTCCTCCCAGAAACTTTCCAGGGTAGGTCACATGGTCATCAGTACCAGGACCTCTGGATGTGAATTTGGATCATGCTCCGTCTCCCTCTAGCCAAGTGACATCAGGGCACTCCCCAGCCCCATAGAGTCTCACTGCCCTTACCTGCCAAGCACAGATGACCCCTGACACCACTTTGCAGACTCTGGTGAGGGGTAATGAGTTGTGGGGAGTGGACCTCTCAGCGCAATTCTTGGCTCAAGATGAACTCTTTATAAACAGGGCTGTTGTGATGGCAACACTCCAGGCACACACCTATATTGCTCAGTGTCACAGTGCCATTTCTACAGACTCAGCTTCCAGAGCAGCACTTTCTGGGACCAGAATGGAACAGAGCAGGAAGATATCACCTTGGTGGAGACGTGATGGGCCAGGGTGACTGGGGGAAACTTCCAGAGGTGGGTGATTGAGGCTCCTCTGTCTTGAGCTACACGTCCTAGTTTCCAATCAGGAAGTCCCTCTGACCTTACTATATGGAAAGACTATGGCTTCTATTAAAAAGGAGAAATAGGGCCCTCCCTGGTGGCGCAGCGGGTTAAAGCACAGCACAGAGAAGCTTAAACCACTTCTGCATGAGTTCGATTCCCGCCTGCCCCGGAGGTGACCACATGGTGTGGCAGACCTCTCCTGACCCACCCACTGCTCCCTTCAGCAGTGCACCTCGTCTATCTGCCTGTTCTGTACCCCACTCTGTCTCTGGTGAATCCTCTCACCCTCCGCATCTCTGGCCTGTACCCCAGTTCTGTACGAATAAATAAATAAACCTTTTTAAAAATTTTTTAAAAAAAAAAAAAAAAAAAGGAGAAATAATACAAATCAATTCTTAGATTTCCAGCAAGTATTTATTGGCCTATCATTTTCTTTATGAAAAAAGAATAGCTCTGTGAAGGCACCATGCGCATCACCCCTCTGGGTAGGAGGGACGAAGGGCTCCTCTGACACCCCATTGGACTAGCACCCCCACTGCTCCTTACTGCGCCTACATGTTCTCTGAGTAACAGCTGCCCTCCTGTGCACCTCATGTGCATTTCTGGTCCATCTCACACAGGGGGAGTGGGGTGGGGGCAGGTCCAACTGGCCTGGAGGCAGAAAGGCTCAGCCCATCAGTGAAAGCAGTCTAGTCCAAGCATCTCGCTGGGAGGCTCAAACACCTGGAAGAATGTCCAAACAAGGAAACGGTACCAGATGCCAAGTGGGTGAGAGGCCATCCTGGAATGCGGAGGGAGGGCCTGGAGACTGCCCTACAGTTGCTAAGCCAAGGAAGAGAGCCCAGAGGGCAGAGCTCAAGCCCTCCTTCCTCCCAGCCCTGTGGCATAGGCCAGGCAGTTCAGTCACTGTCCTGACTAAATGAACAATTGTGCAGAGAAGCTGACCTCTGGGGGAAGAGGGCAAGAGGTGGGAAAGCCCTTGGGTTGTTTGGAGGATACTGCCTAGGACTGACTGCAC